GTCCCTCGGCGGCAGCTTCGGCAGCCGTGAGTGCGCTCGCTGGATCATGAGGTTCCACCCGTAGCCCAGTCGGGGACACAGAAGACCCGAGGAAGCCAGAACTCGGGTTTGCCGACATCTCTTGACGGGCGCGTCCTGGACTTTGACGGTCCAGTTTCATGGAATGTTTGAGTCTTACGTCTCCCCGACCCAGGTCGACCCTTGACGCCGCTTGCGCCTTCGCTTGCGGCTGCGACCAAAAATACCGTGCTGCGCCGACGGAAGCCCGAAAAAGTGGGAGGGTAAAAATTCGCCCAACACCCAAGGGAAGTCCGAGGCCTGCAAGACAGCCTCCCCAAACGGCCCCAAGAGGCAAAAATCATTGATTATACTATGGTTTTTTGATGTTTTTCAGGTTCGCCTGTTTGGGACTCCCCGACGCTCCAAAACAGCCCCAGAAGCCCCTGAGACCGCCCAAGGACGGCACAAGAGGTCCCCAAGTTCGCCCCAAGACGGCCCAAGAGAGCCACCCCACGGCCCCACCACGGCCCAAGAGGCTTCATACACGGCCTCAGCGACCCTCATGACGGCTCCACAGGGGGCCCTGACGGGGTACCCCAACGGTCTCTCCGAGTTCTGGGCCCCAAGATGCTTCCAACACCGCCCCAGAGGCCTCCAAGACGATCCCAGAGCCCTCCACACGCCCCCAGAGGCCTGTAAGACAGCATTCAAAAACGGTCTAAAGTTGCAAAAGTCGTTGTTTTTTCAATGTGTTGGTAGGTTTTTCAGGTTTGCCCGTTTCGGGCTTCCCGACGCTCCAACACGGCCCCAGCCCCAGAAACCCCTGAGACGGCCCACAGACGCCCAAAGAGGTCCCCAAGATCGTCCCAAGACGGCCCAAGAGCGCCACACCACGGCCCCAAGACGGCCCAAGAGGCCTCATAGACGGCCTCAGCGGCCTTCATGACGGCTCCACGATAAGCCCCTGACGGGGTACCCGAACGGTCTCTCCGAGCCCTGGGCCCCAAGAGGCCTCCAACACGCCCCCACGGGCCTGCAAGAGGCCTCCCAGGAGAGGCCAAAGAGGCCCCCGAGACGGCACCACGACGGCCCAACAGGGCCGCCACACGGCCCCAATATGGGCAAGAGACTTCCAAGACGACCCCAGAGGCTCTCAAGACGGCTCCACGAGCGAGCTTAGACGGGGTAGCCGAACGGACATTCAGGGCTCTCGGCCCCCAACGGGCTCCCGGGAGGCTCCAAGACGCCCCGACGATGCCCCCTAGAGGCTCCAAAAAGGCTCCCTTGGCGCCCTTGGCGTGGACCGTTTGTTGGTGGTTGAAATTAATGACGGGGTACGGGGCGCACTTGGAAACCACCCTGGCGGATGACGGGAAGCGCCCATGGCGTGGACTGTTTGTTGGTGGTGGAAATTGATAATCGGGTACGCGCCGCACTTTGAAACTGCGCTGGCGGATTTTTGAAAAATGGCAGTTTCTCTACAAACATCTTCCAAAAATCGGCCCAAGAGGGGACTCCACATCGACGTCGTGTTCGAATCGCTCTTGGAGTGTTTTCCAACGGCCCAGGTGAGGCCCAAAAGACGCCCCGGGGAGCCCCAGGAGCGCCCAAGAGCGCCCCAAGAAGACCCCACGAGACCCCCAAGACCGCTCCAGGAGCCACCCAGACAGCTCACAAGAACCCCAAGACGGCCCAAGAAGGGCCAAGAAGGCCCCAAGAGACTCCCGGGAGCGTCCCAGGAGGCCCCCAGCGCCGAGACGGCCTAAGAAAGCTCCCACAGAACCCCACGACGCGCCCAGACAGCCCAAGAAGACCCCAGAAGCCCATAAGAGGACCCGAGGGGCCCCTAAGAAGCCCCCAACAGGCCCCAAGAGAACCCCGCGCGGCGCCAGGAGCAACGTCTTTCTCCAATTGCCTCGTACTGTCCTCTGTCGTCGTCGTCGTCGTCGTCGTCATCATCGCCCTCCGCATTCCTCCTCGTGCTCGCCCTCGTTCTCTTCGTCCTCGTCCTTGTGCTTCTCTTCCTCCTCGTTGTCCTCATGCTCCTCCTCGCTATCCTCACGTTCGCCACGTCGTCGTCGTCATCGACTCCTCGTTGTCCTCGCCGTCCTTTTCTTCTTCGCCCAACACGCCCATTTGACTACAGCGGCGCGTCCGGTTCTTGTCCGATCAGGTTTGGAAGCTCGTGGGGCTAGATTGGGGCTCTCTCAGGGCAATGCTGGAGACGTGTTGCACTCTCGTGGGGGCCTCTTGGGGGCCAGGGGTTTAGATTACGCCTCCCCCGTCGGAGGCAACAGAACAAACGCGTATTGGGGCGACAGCGTACACTATTGGGCGATTTGGGCGCCGTCGTGAAGACCTCCTGAGCCCATCTTGCAGCTCTCCTGGACCATCTTGGAACCATCGTGAGGCCTCTAAAGCTAATTGGAAGCGAACGGCGAGAATACAACATGTATAAATGTTTGCCTGGCGGTTGAAGGATCTGGTTTTATCGGGGGCGTCCTTGGGCAGCTCGGAAGCAACTTTGAGCTGTTTTGTGGAGGTCTCAGGCTATAGCGGAGACGTGTTGAAAGTTGTCGTCGCCCATCCATCGTGGGCCATGTTGTGCCATCTTGGAGGCTACCTTGGGCTATCTGGGAGCTGGCGCCCTCTTCGAGCCATATCAGGCCGTGTTGCTACACACGAACGGCACGTGATCTCCCCCCCCCCCCCGTGCAGACCCAGGCGAGGGGGAAGGGGGAGGGGCAAATCTTTCCCCGAAGGGAAAGAAATGGGTCGGAAGATCGGGCTCGCTAAACCCTTTTACACACAGAGGGCAAGTGGGATTACGAGGTGACGCCACACCTGTGGGGGGCACCATCGTTGACTAGCAAGCATGACGCACGTGCCGCCAATGCGCGACGTATACCTCGCAAAATACACATTTCCATGTTGCGGGGTGGCTGAGGACACGCTGGGCCGCATTGTGGGAACGCCGCTATTTCCAAGACCAGTCACGGCAGCAGTATTGCCTTGGCGCGTTGATTGTTTCGCAGATGCTGTGTCCAGATGGCGGTTGCCTCGCAACGCTGATTGAATGCATCATTGTCAGATAGTGATGTAGCATGCGAGCTCTACACTCGTGCAATCATGCGCAATAATGGTGGATGTCTGGGCATTGTGTTCCAGGCTACCCTCGCTGGGCCATCCCAGCACTTGAGTCCAACGAGGGTGTTTTTGCAGACATTCGATGTCCTGGCCCCACATGCGTCTGACGTTGCAGGTCAAGACTGCGAAACGCAGAAAAGTTAGACCAGTAGCAGCCATTAGCCTCCCAAAACTTGCGATCTAGGCTACGGCTGGTAGAGCCTTCGATGCCCAATGTGACCCAACGCTACCATCTCAGAGACGCGGCAGACGACGGTTTGCTTGCCATCCTACCTTGCTGTTCTGATTTCCAAGATGTCCACGCTCTTCTTGGTGAGGCCGTCATCGCACATGAAGTCGAGGGAGTCGAGCTTTTGACTCAGATTGTGAGGGTGACCGCGCGAGTTGGCCCGCTGGTCATCTGGTGAATCTGATCCAGCAGAGGAACGAAAACAGTCGGACCGAGGTATAAGATCGAGGTCGGTTCGGGGAGGGTACCCAAGTGTTCTTCGTGGTTGTTGGATGTTCTTGTGCATCCTTGGGAGGGTACCCTTGAATGATCTGAATGGTTTGGTCGGAGGAGGGTCTCATGTTCTTGAGGGATGTTATTCTGGCCTAGGTCCGACTGTACGAATATGTCGCTTGCCCAGACCATGTCAGAAATCCTATGAAGGCCATCGCCAGGGGAATACAGGAGGCCCCGCCTTTACCAGTCTTCAGCCACAGGCTTGAGGACATGTTTTAGGAACGAGTTGAACTCGTCGGGGTTCGTTTCCTTTCCCTGTGTCCCGTCTCATTGTTGTTCGAACGGTTTTCTAATTCTCGCCCTTAGAAAGGGAGGCCAGGCTATGAGTCCTTACAAGCCGCGGAGAAATCAACGGACTGCAGTTGGATGTAAGCCTCGTTTCACCATTGTGTCGGCATCCATTGAAGCACAGGAAAGGTAACGTCTTGCGCTCCCATCAGCTGTCGGCCCCAGTTGTGGGCAGAGCAAAGACACTGACGAAGAACTAACACGGAAGCCAATCATGATGACGTGGGATGGCAGTTCCAGTGGGTGAAGAACATACATAGAATTGCGTGTGAGATTTTCTGAGTATTTGGAAAGGTCCAAGTTGCCCGAAGCACTGTTTGTGGGTAAGTTTGCGTGCTCGACGAAGTCAAATTCGAAATGTGTCAGAAACATTGGATCTACATCAACGTTGGCTTTACGAACGCAAGATTACGATACACTTCGACGGCACACCAATCAAATCTGGCGCACTTATTGGCAAGACGCTGGATATTACGCACAAGACTTCAAATTAAACAGTCCGCATCTAGATGTTGTATCGCATTACTCATATTCCTCATTTTATATCGTCCCCCACCCACCATTACTCCTCGATAATACTCATCATCTCCAGCCTTGTGCCCAGAACTACCCGCCTCGTCCTCCTCCTTTTTCTCCTTTTCCTCCTCCTCCTCCTCCTCCTCCTCCTCCTCCCCCTCCTCCTCCTCCTCATCCTCCTCCTCCTCCTCCTCATCATCATCATCATCATACTCCTCCCTCCTTCCCCGTCCCCCCTCGTCCTCCTGCTCGCATCCTCGTCCTCTTCCCATTGCCCCCTCTTCCGCCTCCTCCTCCTCCCCCTCCTCCTCATCCGCCTCCTCTCCTCCTCTTCCTCCTCCTCCTCACCCTCATCGTCATCCTCACCCTCATCCTCCTCATACTCCTCCTCCTCATGCTCCTCTTCCTCCTCATCATCCTCAGCAGCATCAGCAGAAGCAGAAGCAGAAGCATCAGCATCACACTCATCGTCATCTTCACCACCACCACCATATCCGCATTATTATCATCATCCAGTGAGCCCGAACGCCACCGCCGCTGACAGGCTTGGGCAGGGGTGGCGGCTACTTCGAGCGGGCAGAGGCCACCCAGCGCAACGAGGCAGAGGACCTCGCCCCCCCATCCGTTGGGGAGGGCAGGGGAAAAAGGAGGTAGGGAGGGGAGGGAGAAGGTGACAACCAGGGGGAGGAAGAAGCCCAGAGATCTGAGGCTCCAAAAAATTTGAGCGGTCAGTGTTTGCTTATTTTTCGGCCTCCGAAGGAAGGCCTTCAACGGGACCGGGGGCAGTCAAAAAAAGATTCGGGACGAAAATCCAAGGGAAGTGGTCCAGGCCTCCTGGGGCCCACGCATCAGAAAAAAATCGGAACGACGGACGCCTGGGAAGCTGACAACCGGAGGAGGAGGAGGAGGAGGAGGAGGAGGAGGGAGGGTAAGGGGGGAGGGACCGGTGAGGTATCTCGAGAGCTCTCCCCGTGGGCCAGAGACCTATCTCGTGGGGGTGAGGACGCAGTTCTCCTCCCACCTGGCCAGCTTGACTAAGAGGGCTGGGCATCTCATCCAGCTCGGCTGCTGGCAGTGCGCGTGCCGAGGTGCGCGCCCACTGGTCTGCAGCCGCTGCCGCTGGCATGACTCCAGCAGCGGGCGGCTGCCGGGCGCCCGCCGCGGCTCGGCCCGACGCCTGCCGGCGAGGCCCCGGGCACAGGCAGCTCACTTGAGGCCGCCCCAGTCTCGTCGAAGGTGTGTCCGAGGCGGGAATGTATGTACATGACCACCGCCTGGAGGATCCATGTTCGGGGACCTCGGCAGGCGGTGGATATGGATATACTCGAGCCCTCCTTCCTCCATCTCCTCCCCCTCCTCCTCCTCCTCCTCCTCCTCTCCTCCTCCTCCTCCTCCTCCTCCTCCTCCTCCCTCCTCCTCCCCCCCTCCCTCCTTCCCCCTCCTTCCCCCTTCTCCTCCTCCTCCTCCTCCTCGTCCCCGGGCACAGGCAGCTCACCTCCTCCTCCTCCTCCTCCTCCTCCTCCTCCTCCTCCTCCTCATCCTCCTCCTCATCCTCCTCCTCCTCCTCCTCCTCAGCCCCCTTCGAGTGGGGCCACCCAGGTCTTGTCCAAGGCGCGTGCCTCTGCGACGCTGCCAGTCGACCAGACGTGAGAGTGACCTTTCGCTTGAGTGACCTTTGGTGCGGGATTGCAATGGTCTAGGCCTCCCAGATGGGGTCGGAGTAGATAAGGTCGGAAGATCGCGCCGTATCGTCGATGCATCGGCGATGCGGCTCGAGGTGGAGCCCGATGTTCTTCATGATTCGTCGCGGATGCGTCGCCGACGTCGCCGATGCATCGGCGATGTATCGCCGATGTTGTATCGGCGATGCGGCGAGATCCCCCGACCCCAACTACTCGGACCCCATCTAGGAGGCCTCTAAATGGGGTCCCCCGGTCGCCGAACGCGACGCGGTGGCAGCGGCTCGCGCGGCCGCCCCGCTTCCCCCGTTCCGCCGCGCACAGAGGGTCATGCCTGCCCAGGGTCACTCTTGCGTGTAGCCGATGCCAAATCGGGGGCAACGTCAGGGAGGACACATTGGAGGGGACCTCTCAAGCTTACCTCAGGCCTGCGCAGTGCCCACAAGAGCAAGAGTGCAGCTGAGCACAGGAGGGCTTGCAGGCAGCTGCGGATCTCGAAGATGCAGGAGCAAGGCGCGGACGACGCTGCAAAGCCCTCGGAGAGCAGAGCAGTGACAGCGCGAGCACCAGATCTGCAAGTGGCCGGGGAGCCCCCGCGCCATGCCCACGAGCGTTGCTCCATCCGGGCGGGTGTGGGCAAGGGGACGCGCGAAGTGCACACAGGGCACCAGGCTCAGAGGGTGAACGCATCTCCCAATCGTCGGGGGCGGAAAAGAGGGGGGTGATGACTAGGAGGGGGGGGATATCATGGCGTGGGCCATGATATTTCCCCAGATTTCACGGCGCCTCTTCTTATTTCATTACGTCCCTGGCCCCCCCGCTGGGCCGCGCACATGCCGCCGGTCTTGATTTGCATCCCCCCCCTCTTGGACACCCCCCTCTTGGCCGCTCCCGAAATCGCAGCTTCCACTCATCGCCAGTGCGGGACCAGCAGCTCCCCCGCCCGTGGGCGAACGGATGCGCTATCGGGAGCCTCTCGCCGATCGACCGGCGATTCATCGCCGATTCTGGCTCGGTCCGGTCCCCCCCTAAGGCTGCCCTTGGCGAACGCGGGCTGGCTGAAGCCATGCCTTCAGTTGTACCGCAGCCAGTCCGCGCGACTCGTCCGCAAGGCGCGGCCAATGTGGCCCGATGCGGAAGCCCACCCAGGCCAAAACTGCGGGTCATTAGTGGGGGCACGCTATGGCTGCCTGCCAGGGGATGAGGTGCATGCAGCAGTCCGCGTGCAGAGGAGAGGGGGGCCTTAGAAGATTACAGAAACCCTACCAGGCAGCATGTTGGACTCGACCACGCCTCAACGTGCCAGGGGGCACGGTGGCGGGTCTATCGTTCTCACGATTACGAATGAATATACACATACATAAACACACGAGTACACGGTTCCGAATGATAATACACATCTTTATATATAATATATATATATATACACGCATATACACTTCTATACATATACGTACATAAGAGAAGGTCCCATGTGGGCAGGGCGGGGGGAGGGGGGGGGGGGGGGGGGCAAAATCAGTGCGTCTGGTTCGTTCACATGGGGAGCCGGCGGGCCTTTGCGCTGCAAAAGGGCCTTGCAGGGGGTCCAGAGGGCACCAAAAGGGGCCCCTAAGGGCGCCAGAAAGCACCACAGCGCCCCGAGCACGCTGACCATTTCCTAGAAACGGCTTACGTGGCCTCTACGACGCCCCAAAAGAGCTTCCTGCTGATCACTGGGAGAGGCTCCAGGGACAAAAAGTTGTGGTTTCCCTATCATTTTTTTGGATGTTCGTGTACTCGCCTGCTCCGCTGGCCGACGCCCAGAGACGGCAGAAGAGGCGCCCAAGAGGGCCCCAAGACACCCCAAGAGGGCGCCAAGACGGCCCAAGAGGCGCCCAGAATCGCCCCAGGGGCTCCGAGGGCTCCGGGCGGCCCCCCAAGTGGTGAGCTCGGACACGTTACAAGGGCCCTCAACGAGGCCCACAGGGCATCTATTACTGATCCGCTGCAGGATCAGTCAGCTTCCGAGACGCACCATAGGGGGCTTCAAGCTGATCCCCGGGAGAGGCTCCAGGGGCGCATATCATATCATTCAGTTCTCCATGGTTTTTCAAGGATGTTCGTGTGCCCGCCTGCTCCGCTGCCCGACGCTCCGAGACGACAGAAGAGGCGCCCAAGAGGGCCCCATGACACCCCAAGAGGGCGCCAAGACGGCCCAAGAGGCGCCCAGAATCGCCCCCGAGGGCGCCAGGCGGCCACGGCCACCCAAATGAGCTCGGACACGCCGCAAGGACCTTAAATCAGGACCTCACGGCCCCACCACGGCCCCAGCACGCCCATCATTGCTCCGATGACGGGCTCCCGGAGAGCCTTCCGAGAGACTGAAAACGCGCCCGTCATCGGAGCAGGAAAATCTCCATCATTTCTTGCGTTTCTCTGGAGAGCCCTCCGCGAAAATGATCCTCGCAGCCAGTCCGACGAAGACGTGACGAGGAGGAGGAGGAGGAGGAGGAGGAGGAAGAGGAGGAGGAGGAGGAGGAGTTGGAGGAGGAGGACGAGGGACCTCATGCTCCAATGCGCTGCCGTCTTCTGCACCCCCTCCTCCCCCAGCCCCGGCAGCCATTGTGGCTGCCGTAGGCGGGGATCCTTGTGGGCCACGATCCGTGTGCGAGGTGTGACGGGAGGGCGGGATGCGATTCTTCTGTCGTCCGTGGAACCTTTTGAGGGCTACGATCCGTGTGAGAGGTGTTCAGAAATCAGTGGGGCGACGCTATGAAGCTTCCCTCTGGTGCTGCAAATGCAGCAACTTGTGGGGCACGATCCGCGTAAGGGGCGTGCCGCTCTGCGAACCGTGTCTCTGGGGACGTAGGTAGGGAAACAAGCAATGGCATTAACATAATAATTCGGAGGTCCGCTCGGATTGCTCGGATCGACGCCACCAGGGTGCCCCAACGCCGATCCGAGAAATCCGCGCGGACCTCAGAGTTGTTATGTTTATGTCATTGCGTATTCCCCTGGTAGGTGAAGCCCCGTGTAGGAGAAGGAGGAGGTGGTGGTGGAGGAGGAGGAGGAAGTTCTCCATCATTGTCTTGCGTTTCTCTGGAGAGCCCTCCGCAAAAATGATCCTCGCAGCCAGTCCGACGAAGACGTGACGAGGAGGAGGAGGAGGAGGAGGAGGAGGACGAGGGACCTCATGCTCCAATGCGCTGCCGTCTTCTGCACCCCCTCCTCCCCCAGCCACGGCAGCCATTGTGGCTGCCGTAGGCGGGGATCCTTCTGGGCCGCGATCCGTGGGCGAGGTGTGCCGAAGTAGACGGGAGGGCGGGATGCGATTCTTCTGTCCAAGGCCGTCCGTGGAACCTTTTGAGGGCCACGATCCGTGTAAGAGGTGCTTAGAAATCAGCGGGGCGACGCTATGAAGCTTCCTTTCGGTGTTGCAAATGCACCTATTTGCGGGCACGATCCGCGTAAGGGGCGTGCCACTCCGCGAACCGTGTCTTTGGGAACGTAGGTAGGGAAACAAGCAATGGCATAAACATAATAACTCGGAGGTCCGCTCGGATTGCTCGGATCGGCGCCGCCAGGGTGCCCCAGCGCCAATCCGAGAAATCCACGCGGGCCTCAGAGTTGTAATGTTTATGTCATTGTTGATGCCCCTAATAGGTGAAGCTCCGTGTAGGAGAAGGAGGAGGAGGAGGAGGACGAGGAGGAGGTGGAGGAGGAGGAGGAGGTGAAGTTCCGTGTGGGGCGCCATCCTTGTGAGGGGTGTGTTGACAGATGCGGGGGAACGCCATAGCCAAGTTTTTCCCCTGGGGGCCGCAGATGGACCTCCCCTGCGGGCACGACCCGTGCGGCCATCGATGTCCTCCAAGACCGCACACGTCAGATTGCAACTAAAACGTACTAGAATCGAAGCGCGTAGCCCACGTGGTTCTAGTATAGATAGAC